CCACTTCCAGCTTTTTTCTTTTTGCTTATGTGGTGCTGAGGAATCAAACCCAGGGCCTCAGGCATGCAAGGCAAGCGCTCTACCACTAAGCCACCTTCCTAGCCCTCCGAGATTTGTTTTTAAAGCCCGAGGCTAGCTTGTAGTTTTTTTTTTAATTTTGGGGGGTTGAGAGATAAAAGTCTCATGGGCTTTCCTGCCAGAGCTGGCTTCAAAATATCATCCTCAGATCTCAGCCTTTTGAGTAATTAGGATTATAGGCGTGAACCACTAGCATCCAACTCAGTAGTATTTGATTGAAATTATATTAAACTCATGAATTAGTCACAGGAGAAATGTCTATATAACCATTCATTGTGAAAAGCATATTTTTCCATATTTCCATCTGACTGTTACTGATACTTAACAATACTATTTTTTTTTTTTTTTTTGCAGGTAATCAGAGGACTGCTGAAATTTTGGCCCAAAACATGCAGTCAGAAAGAGGTAGGTTTTGTTCACGAAAGAAAGTAGTGCATTTCAGTAGAACCTTTCAATCACAAGGCTGTAACCCTGCTGCTTGGGGCTGGCTGTATTGCTGTGCTATAGGTAGAAGTAAGATCTGGCACACTATGAAACTGCCACCCAGAGCTTTTTTCCTTGGTTCATACTTTTGTGTGTTCCAGTGCTAGGGCCTGGGCACTGCCCCTGAGATTTTGTACTCAAGGCTAGTGCTCTATCACTTGAGCCACACAGCTTTACTTACAGCTTTTTGGTGACTAACCAGAGATAAGCGTTTCATACTTTCCTGCCAGGGTTGGCTTTGAACCTGAGTCTCAGATCTCAGCCTCCTGAGAAGCTATAATTACCAGTGGAAGCCACTGGCACCTGGCTTCTCAATTTATATTTTGTAGATAAACCTCAGTTATATAGTTTATAAATTAGTATCATAATTTGTCACATTGTTTTTTAAATTTTTTTAACTTAGGTGATGTTTTTAGGAGAAATTGAAGAAATCTTAGATGTTATTGAACCAACACAGTTCAAAAAAATTGAAGAGCCACTTTTTAAGCAGATCTCCAAGTGTGTCTCCAGTTCTCATTTTCAGGTATGTTTTCAATGACACCTTCCTCATTTTATACCATCATTTCTTTCTCTTTGAATTTTGACCTTTCTGTCTTTTAGGTTGCAGAAAGAGCCTTGTACTTTTGGAATAATGAATATATTCTTAGTTTGATTGAAGAGAACATTGATAAAATTCTGCCAATTATGTTTGCCAGTTTGTACAAAATTTCCAAAGAACACTGGAATCCGTAAGTTTTTGTTTTGTTTGTCAGTTGTGGGGCTTGAACTCTGGGCCTGGGTGCTATCCCTGCACACTTCAACTCAAGGTGAGCACTCTACCTCCTGAGTAGCTAGGATTACAGGCATTAGTCACTGGTGCCCAGCTCCGTATGTTTGTTGGTCACATTTTTCTTTGTTGTCTAACCTTTTTGGCATTTGATTTTCTCATATATAACAACATACAGATTTGGAACTTATATCAAAAGTTAACATCATCAGTTATAGTCTATACACAGAATGTATACATACACATTTTTAATAAAGTTAGAAATATATGTATGTCTGTATACTTCAGAATATGGCTTAAGTTTCAACTGAAAATAGCACATCTTCCAAAGGTTAACATTCTGTACCAACTGTGGCCAAAGCCTATTGAAGAAACCAGCTAGCCATCTGTGGAGAATACACAAACTACTGTAATGCAGACTTGTGCTGACAGATCTGTTCCCAGTCTAGTCTATAGGCAACAGTTCCAGGAGAGGCTATAGGACTTAAGGGCACAGGATATATGAAACACATGGTCTACCTGCAGTCACATCCTTATCTTGATCCTGCTTTCTGCTTTCCTTCTTTCAAACTATACAGTTGGATCTTTTTCACCTTTTTTTTTTTTTTTTT